TATATCTAGGTGTTTCTGTAGTTTTACTTTGAGGTCTTTTAGTGGTATATCTAGGTGTTTCTGTAGTTTTACCTTGAGGTTTTTCAGTGGTATATCTAGGTGTTTCTGTAGTTTTACCTTGAGATCTTTGAGTGGTATATCTAGGTGTTTCTGTAGTTTTACCTTGAGGTCTTTGAGTGGTATATCTAGGTGTTTCTGTAGTTTACCTTGAGATCTTTGAGTGGTATATCTAGGTGTTTCTGTAGTTTTACCTTGAGATCTTTGAGTGGTATATCTAAGTGTTTTTGTAGTTTTACCTTGAGATCTTTCAGTTGTATATCTAAGTGTTTCTGTAGTTTTACCTTGAGATCTTTTGTATATCTAAGTGTTTCTGTAGTTTTACCTTGAGATCTTTGAGTGGTATATCTAGGTGTTTCTGTAGTTTTACCTTGAGATCTTTGAGTGGTATATCTAAGTGTTTTTGTAGTTTTACCTTGAGATCTTTCAGTTGCATATCTAAGTGTTTCTGTAGTTTTACCTTGAGATCTTTGAGTGGTATATCTAGGTGTTTCTGTAGTTTTACCTTGAGGTCTTTGAGTGGTATATCTAGGTGTTTCTGTAGTTTTACCTTGAGGTCTTTGAGTGGTATATCTAAGTGTTTCTGTAGTTTTACCTTGAGGTCTTTCAGTGGTATATCTAGGTGTCTCTGTAGTTTACCTTGAGGTCTTTGAGTGGTATATCTAGGTGTTTCTGTAGTTTTACCTTGAGATCTTTGAGTGGTATATCTAAGTGTTTCTGTAGTTTTACCTTGAGGTCTTTGAGGGGTATATCTAGGTGTTTCTGTAGTTTTACCTTGAGATCTTTGAGTGGTATATCTAGGTGTTTCTGTAGTTTTACCTTGAGGTCTTTGAGTGGTATATCTAGGTGTTTCTGTAGTTTTACCTTGAGGTCTTTCAGTGGTATATCTAGGTGTTTCTGTAGTTTTACCTTGAGGCCTTTGAGTGGTATATCTAGGTGTTTCTGCAGTTTTACCTTGAGATCTTTGAGTGGTATATCTAGGTGTTTCTGTAGTTTTACCTTGAGGTCTTTGAGTGGTATATCTAGGTGTTTCTGTAGTTTTACCTTGAGGTCTTTGAGTGGTATATCTAGGTGTTTCTGTAGTTTTACCTTGAGATCTTTGAGTGGTATATCTAGGTGTTTCTGTAGTTTTACCTTGAGGTCTTTGAGTGGTATATCTAGGTGTTTCTGTAGTTTTACCTTGAGGCCTTTGAGTGGTATATCTAGGTGTTTCTGTAGTTTTACCTTGAGATCTTTGAGTGGTATATCTAGGTGTTTCTGTAGTTTTACCTTGAGGTCTTTGAGTGGTATATCTAGGTGTTTCTGTAGTTTTACCTTGAGATCTTTCAGTGGTATATCTAGGTATTTCTGTAGTTTTACCTTGAGATCTTTCAGTGGTATATCTAGGTGTTTCTGTAGTTTTACCTTGAGATCTTTCAGTGGTATATCTAGGTGTTTCTGTAGTTTTACCTTGAGATCTTTCAGTGGTATATCTAGGTGTTTCTGTAGTTTTACCTTGAGATCTTTGAGTGGTATATCTAGGTGTTACTGTAGTTAAGTTTTACCTTGAGGTCTTTGAGTGGTATATCTAGGTGTTTCTGTAGTTTTACCTTGAGGTCTTTGAGTGGTAAATCTAGGTGTTACTGTAGTTAAGCTTTACCTTGAGGTCTTTGAGTGGTATATCTAGGTGTTTCTGTAGTTTTACCTTGAGATCTTTGAGTGGTATATCTAGGTGTTTCTGTAGTTTTACCTTGAGATCTTTGAGTGGTATATCTAGGTGTTTCTGTAGTTTTACCTTGAGATCTTTGAGTGGTATATCTAGGTGTTACTGTAGTTAAGTTTTACCTTGAGATCTTTGAGTGGTTTATCTAGGTGTTTTTGTAGTTTTACCTTGAGATCTTTGGGTGGTATATCTAGGTGTTTCTGTAGTTTTACCTTAAAATCTTTGAGTGGTATATCTAGGTGTTTCTGTAGTTTTACCTTGAGATCTTTGAGTGGTATATCTAGGTGTTACTGTAGTTAAGTTTTACCTTGAGATCTTTGAGTGGTTTATCTAGGTGTTTTTGTAGTTTTACCTTGAGATCTTTGAGTGGTATATCTAGGTGTTTCTGTAGTTTTACCTTAAAATCTTTGAGTGGTATATCTAGGTGTTTCTGTAGTTTTACCTTGAGATCTTTGAGTGGTATATCTAGGTGTTTCTGTAGTTTTCCCTTGAGGTCTTTGAGTGGTATATCTAGGTGTTTCTGTATTTTTACCTTGAGATCTTTCAGTGGTATATCTAGGTGTTTCTGTAGTTTTACCTTGAGGTCTTTCAGTGGTATATCTAGGTGTTTCTGTAGTTTTACCTTGAGATCTTTGAGTGGTATATCTAGGTGTTTCTGTAGTTTTACCTTGAGGTCTTTCAGTGGTATATCTAGGTGTTTCTGTAGTTTTACCTTGAGGTCTTTAAGTGGTATATCTAGGTGTTTCTGTAGTTTTACCTTGAGGTCTTTCAGTGGTATATCTAGGTGTTTCTGTAGTTTTACCTTGAGGTCTTTGAGTGGTATATCTAGGTGTTTCTGTAGTTTTACCTTGAGGTCTTTCAGTGGTATATCTAGGTGTTTCTGTAGTTTTACCTTGAGATCTTTGAGTGGTATATCTAGGTGTTTCTGTAGTTTAACCTTGAGGTCTTTGAGTGGTATATCTAGGTGTTTCTGTAGTTTTACCTTGAGATCTTTGAGTGGTATATCTAGGTGTTTCTGTAGTTTTACCTTGAGATCTTTGAGTGGTATATCTAGGTGTTTCTGTAGTTTTACCTTGAGATCTTTGAGTGGTATATCTAGGTGTTTCTGTAGTTTTACCTTGAGGTCTTTGAGTGGTATATCTAGGTGTTTCTGTAGTTTTACCTTGAGATCTTTGAGTGGTATATCTAGGTGTTTCTGTAGTTTAACCTTGAGGTCTTTGAGTGGTATATCTAGGTGTTTCTGTAGTTTTACCTTGAGATCTTTGAGTGGTATATCTAGGTGTTTCTGTAGTTTTACCTTGAGATCTTTGAGTGGTATATCTAGGTGTTTCTGTAGTTTTACCTTGAGATCTTTGAGTGGTATATCTAGGTGTTTCTGTAGTTTTACCTTGAGGTCTTTGAGTGGTATATCTAGGTGTTTCTGTAGTTTTACCTTGAGATCTTTGAGTGGTATATCTAGGTGTTTCTGTAGTTTTACCTTGAGATCTTTGAGTGGTATATCTAGGTGTTTCTGTAGTTTTACCTTGAGGTCTTTGAGTGGTATATCTAGGTGTTTCTGTAGTTTTACCTTGAGATCTTTGAGTGGTATATCTAGGTGTTTCTGTAGTTTTACCTTGAGGTCTTTGAGTGGTATATCTAGGTGTTTCTGTAGTTTTACCTTGAGGTCTTTGAGTGGTATATCTAGGTGTTTCTGTAGTTTTACCTTGAGGTCTTTGAGTGGTAAATCTAGGTGTTACTGTAGTTAAGCTTTACCTTGAGGTCTTTGAGTGGTATATCTAGGTGTTTCTGTAGTTTTACCTTGAGATCTTTGAGTGGTATATCTAGGTGTTTCTGTAGTTTTACCTTGAGATCTTTGAGTGGTATATCTAGGTGTTTCTGTAGTTTTACCTTGAGATCTTTGAGTGGTATATCTAGGTGTTACTGTAGTTAAGTTTTACCTTGAGATCTTTGAGTGGTTTATCTAGGTGTTTTTGTAGTTTTACCTTGAGATCTTTGGGTGGTATATCTAGGTGTTTCTGTAGTTTTACCTTAAAATCTTTGAGTGGTATATCTAGGTGTTTCTGTAGTTTTACCTTGAGATCTTTGAGTGGTATATCTAGGTGTTACTGTAGTTAAGTTTTACCTTGAGATCTTTGAGTGGTTTATCTAGGTGTTTTTGTAGTTTTACCTTGAGATCTTTGAGTGGTATATCTAGGTGTTTCTGTAGTTTTACCTTAAAATCTTTGAGTGGTATATCTAGGTGTTTCTGTAGTTTTACCTTGAGATCTTTGAGTGGTATATCTAGGTGTTTCTGTAGTTTTCCCTTGAGGTCTTTGAGTGGTATATCTAGGTGTTTCTGTATTTTTACCTTGAGATCTTTCAGTGGTATATCTAGGTGTTTCTGTAGTTTTACCTTGAGGTCTTTCAGTGGTATATCTAGGTGTTTCTGTAGTTTTACCTTGAGATCTTTGAGTGGTATATCTAGGTGTTTCTGTAGTTTTACCTTGAGGTCTTTCAGTGGTATATCTAGGTGTTTCTGTAGTTTTACCTTGAGGTCTTTAAGTGGTATATCTAGGTGTTTCTGTAGTTTTACCTTGAGGTCTTTCAGTGGTATATCTAGGTGTTTCTGTAGTTTTACCTTGAGGTCTTTCAGTGGTATATCTAGGTGTTTCTGTAGTTTTACCTTGAGGTCTTTCAGTGGTATATCTAGGTGTTTCTGTAGTTTTACCTTGAGATCTTTGAGTGGTATATCTAGGTGTTTCTGTAGTTTAACCTTGAGGTCTTTGAGTGGTATATCTAGGTGTTTCTGTAGTTTTACCTTGAGATCTTTGAGTGGTATATCTAGGTGTTTCTGTAGTTTTACCTTGAGATCTTTGAGTGGTATATCTAGGTGTTTCTGTAGTTTTACCTTGAGATCTTTGAGTGGTATATCTAGGTGTTTCTGTAGTTTTACCTTGAGGTCTTTGAGTGGTATATCTAGGTGTTTCTGTAGTTTTACCTTGAGATCTTTGAGTGGTATATCTAGGTGTTTCTGTAGTTTTACCTTGAGATCTTTGAGTGGTATATCTAGGTGTTTCTGTAGTTTTACCTTGAGGTCTTTGAGTGGTATATCTAGGTGTTTCTGTAGTTTTACCTTGAGATCTTTGAGTGGTATATCTAGGTGTTTCTGTAGTTTTACCTTGAGGTCTTTGAGTGGTATATCTAGGTGTTTCTGTAGTTTTACCTTGAGGTCTTTCAGTGGTATATCTAGGTGTTTCTGTAGTTTTATCTTGAGGTCTTTGAGTGGTATATCTAAGTGTTTCTGTAGTTTTACCTTGAGATCTTTGAGTGGTATATCTAGGTGTTTCTATAGTTTTACCTTGAGGTCTTTGAGTGGTATATCTAGGTGTTTCTGTAGTTTTACCTTGAGGTCTTTGAGTGGTATATCTAGGTGTTTCTGTAGTTTTACCTTGAGGTCTTTGAGTGGTATATCTAGGTGTTTCTGTAGTTTTACCTTGAGATCTTTCAGTGGTATATCTAGGTGTTTCTGTAGTTTTACTTTGAGGTCTTTGAGTGGTATATCTAGGTGTTTCTGTAGTTTTACCTTGAGATCTTTCAGTGGTATATCTAGGTGTTTCTGTAGTTTTACCTTGAGATCTTTCAGTGGTATATCTAGGTGTTTCTGTAGTTTTACTTTGAGGTTTTTGAGTGGTATATCTAAGTGTTTCTGTAGTTTTACCTTGAGGTCTTTGAGTGGTATATCTAGGTGTTTCTATAGTTTTACCTTGAGGTCTTTTAGTGGTATATCTAGGTGTTTCTGTAGTTTTACCTTGAGGTCTTTGAGTGGTATATCTAGGTGTTTCTGTAGTTTTACCTTGAGATCTTTCAGTGGTATATATAGGTGTTTCTGTAGTTTTACTTTGAGGTCTTTTAGTGGTATATCTAGGTGTTTCTGTAGTTTTACCTTGAGATCTTTCAGTGGTATATCTAGGTGTTTCTGTAGTTTTACCTTGAGATCTTTCAGTGGTATATCTAGGTGTTTCTGTAGTTTTACCTTGAGATCTTTGAGTGGTATATCTAGGTGTTTCTGTAGTTTTACCTTGAGATCTTTGAGTGGTATATCTAGGTGTTTCTGTAGTTTTACCTTGAGGTCTTTGAGTGGTATATCTAGGTGTTTCTGCAGTGCTGTGGCCCAGATGACCTCTATATCTGCCAGCACGGCTGTCAGGGTGCCTCCCGGACGATCATGAATGTTAAGTCTCCCCCTCCTCATTGGCCAGTGTAGATTGTAATTGTCCGCTGGGTTCACATACATGGCCTAGTTAAGAGATTCTAATAGTCAAGTCCTGGCTTAAACTATTTTATAATTGGTTTATACTGTACAGTGATGGAAGAGTCAACGTTTAAAAAAAATTTCTATAGAAAGCTTTATTAATTGAGATAACTACAGAATTGCGAACAGCTATGAACTCTAACCTCTTGACCCACAATGAAGGGTGGCTGGCTTTCAGTCCTCGTCCACATCTGTTGACATGTGACCTCTGTCCTCTGACCTTTGACCCCATGGTTATGATTATATAACTACAGCGTAAGAAAACCAAGAATCAAGAAAATTAGTGTGGTCAGGATAACATAAACTAAGTTAGCTTTCTTCTAGCCTGTGTAGAACATCTCACGCTTGTCCTTTGGCTAGAGTTTTGTCCAGTGTATACACACCTGTTTGACTGATGGGGTCTGCCTGTATTCTCCAGTGGACATAGGCCTGGCCCCCACAGCCTCCTCTGCCTGTTTTAGTCCAACCTTGAACTGTGGCTTGGCCTCGGAATGCTGTTAATATAGATATAAAAGACTTGTGTTGAAATGAGGACTTTCTATATATACAGATATTGAGCAGTATTTTCAAGTACTAAAACTGATTAAAAATCATTTCAGTTACACATGCAACTTGATTTAAAATAGAAGTTTATAGATCTGTGACAAGTAGTAATGAAAATGCATGCATGATAAAGTATTTTAACATCAGTAACATTTTAAATGTAACAGAAAAGAAGAGAATGTATGGTATTGGACCACTACTACACTGTAAATGCTGTAGGCAGGTGCTCTATTGACTAATCTAGCCTGGTCATAAAACTTTAAATAAATCAAAGTATACGTACGTCAAAAAAGTGTTATTTATAACACTTTTTATAAGCAATGTAATTATAAACATGATAAGGCCAAAGTTATTTTATTTTTTGGTTTACGGATTTTTTCAACCAAAATGTCCACTTGGTGGTGACAAATTAAAATAAAAATAATTTGAAACTTCTTTCAAACAGAACATTGCTAAAAATAATTCATAATCTTGTAAACTTTATTATATTAATTATCAAGTAACAGATTATCTTTACTTATTTTAGTTGCCTTTTTCCTTTTATTAGCATGACCTTATGTCTACTAATATTTATTTTCTAAAACCTGAAAAAATTGGGTAAGCGGATCCGTAAACCGAAAAATGTAAAAACTGTGGCCTAACCAGAAGGAAAGAACCAAAACCGATTAAGATCACTTTATGTGACAGAGCTACTTACAACACATTCTGGTCTCAGTATGAGAGAGCTGGAGGTCCTGGTCTGTGAGATTCTCTTCCTGGCTATACACTGGGGGATGGTCACTGGCAGGGGGTCAGAGGCTCGACCAATCCGCAGGTTCAAAGAACCTGGGTGAATGATGACAATAGTGGAGGTCTGAACGGGCTAATGTAACACAACAAAGCAAGCATTGTTAAAAATTTACAGACTACTGTAAACCAACTATTATTTATGTTATCTTTTATTCGATATTCATCAATTTGAAATCAATCCGCGACAATTAATTTTCCAAAGACTATTTCTACCTACTTAGCTATTAAAACCTACCCAAAGTAGCTATTTTACCTTCTTTCTGCTTTACTCGCATTTTGTGGCCAAATGCAGGAACAGCACAACATGGTGAGCACTGAATTTCTTAATACAGTCACAATGGTGATGGATTTGATAAAAATTTCACCAGAAAATGATTACTTCATATATAATCAATTTTGCATAGAAACTAATGTAAAATTGCCACTTCAGGAAGTAAACATTTTTTGGCCAAAATTTTGTGGTATTCATCAACAGTGTGACAGATACAGGTACACATTTATTCACTATGTTGTGCCATTCAGTCTTTTGGCCACAAAATGTAGGTAATACAAAAGTAGGTAAAAATAGCTACTTTGGGTAGGAAAAAATACCCACGTAGCTATTAATAGCTAGGTAGGTGGAAATAGTCAATGGACTGGAACTGTTGAAGTGAATTTTCAGCAATCCAACAAATAATTCTAATCATGGGAGTTTACCTCCACTAGAGACGACTATAAAAGGTTGGAACTTGGGAGGTGAATAAAATATACAAATAATAAATTACAGAATCATGTGTCTAGAATTAGGGAGTGAAAAGTAGCTGAAAGAACAAAGCTGGAAAGTGGATATATTCAAGAACATTTAGAACAGTCTGTACGCAGTAGATTGACACAACTTATATAAAAAGCTTATATCAAAGTATTCCAAAGAGAATAAGAGTCGTAATCAAAGCAAAAGGATACATAACGAAATACTAGTAGTTTAAGGTAAGTGTGTTTTATTGTTTGCATGCTATTCAAGTTTTGCTTTGCAACAGGATAGTCCAATATTTAACTAAGGCGGCCATTTTGGGAGCTAAATTATGGCCAACTACTGTTATTTAATTTGCCTTCTATTTATTTGACCACCCATTTGATTTACTATATTAAAGTGTATTTCACTGTATAGGGGTGGTCCAATTTACATTAGAAAAATAAGTCGTGACGAGCCCCTTGGGACTGTACAGAGATTCCAGGGATTTTAATGTATCTAGTCTGTCTTACCTCGGTTATGGGTTCTGGATTTTGAATATACAACCTTTTTGTTGCATTTGATGGCATATTGTATACATAAAATTACCAAAACAACCCGGGAATGGAACCCTTAATCTGGTCAAACAATGAAACATGAGAAAAATTCTACTTTTGTTTTAAAATGAAACTTGCACGGAGATATGGTTAACTCTTACTTTATAAACTCGGATTTTTCTTCAGATATTTTCAATTAAAAGTGAAAAGTGTACATATATTCGCTTATTTGAAAAAAAAAAATGCTGTGAAAGTGTTTAACTATGGAATGCCATATACGACAGCCAACTGTTTACTGTCAACTGCTGACTGCTTACTGCCAACTGTCAGCTGCTTACTGCCTACTGCCACACATATTTGTATAAATTTTATATTTTTTTATTGATATCTATATGAATTTTCACAAAAAGGGAAAAAGAAGGCACGGATCCAGGAAATTTTTTCCAAGGGGGTCACCCAGGTCAAATTGAATTGAATTAAATGTCCAATATGTTTTATCTCATGTAATTTTCAATATGCAGTTGATAAAGTACATTGTTTTTTAGGGTAATAAAATGAATATTTTCTGCCTTTAATCTTTAAAGACAACAAAACCTTTGAAGAGCGAATAATAATAAAAAAAATTGTCGTTTCGCAGAGAAAGATGTTTTGAAAATAAATTTCCGTTTTCCATTATATTCTATAGTTAAAAATTTCCTAAAATTAAAAATGTATATATCTCTGTGTGTTATAATGTTTCACATGCATAGATCGGGGGGGGGTTAAATTTGTACAGCAGGGACGTAGCAACCGGGGGGGGGGGCAGGGTTGCCTCCCCCCACTTTTTCCTCAACATTACTTTACTATAGAAAATGTTCATTGCATTGAAAGGATGTTTGCACACACACCCCCCTCACACTTTTTATCAAAATATAGTGATCTGAAAGAATTGTAGGAAGAAATAAGAAGTGAAAGTAACTTGGCTTTGAAAAATTTGGTCAATTTTCTCCCTCTAACCCCCCGCCCCGCCCCTGCCCCTTGAAATGTGATTTTTGAGTTTGAGCAACTTTTAATTTCCCTTTATTTTAAGTATGTTTTACATGCAAAGATCTAGCGAGAGAGATCTGGAACACCCCTCTGAAATTTGTATTTAGTTATTTAACGCACAAACTAAACCAAGTAAACATTATTTAATGTATAAAATAAATCATCTAAAAGGCACCTTAGAACCACCCTCCCTTTCCCCCTCCCCTACCGAAAATGTGGATTCGTGTTAAGTTAGTATGAAAAATGTCATACACATGAAGATATGACGCATAAGAACCCCCTATCTCCGGCCGAAATAAATTTTCACATTTAGGAAAGGACACGTATTTTTTTTCTTGTCAAGAAATTCTGGGTTGGATTTTTTTTTCTCACCAGAGTGACCCTCTTGGAAAAAAGGTCCTAAAGATCCGCACCTTTGTTTTAAATTTACATAAATATCAATATAAAAATAAAATTTATTCAAATATGTGTGGCATTTGGCAGTAAGCAGCTGACAGTTAGCAGTAAGCAGTCAGCAGTTGGCAGTAAGCAGTTGGCTGTCGTATATGGCATTCCATATTTAACTGATCTTTAGAGATCCATTTTTTTTTTATAAGAGCAACACAAAGAAAATTTTACAAATTTCATTTTTTTTTTGTTTCCTTTTTTTCAAATAGGTATGGAATGCCATATACGACAGCCAACTGCTAGTTCTGCCAATTGCTGACTGCTTCCTCATTCCTGCCAACTGTCAGCTGCTTACTGCCAACTGCCACACATATTTGAATAAATCTTATATCTATATTGATATTTATGTAAATTTTCAAAAAAAAAAAAAAAAAAAAAAAAAACAGGCGCGTATGGAATGCCATATACGACAGCCAACTGTTTACTGTCAACTGCTGACTGCTTACTGCCAACTGTCAGCTGCTTACTGCCTACTGCCACACATATTTGTATAAATTTTATATTTTTTTATTGATATCTATATGAATTTTCACAAAAAGGGAAAAAGAAGGCACGGATCCAGGAAATTTTTTCCAAGGGGGTCACCCAGGTCAAATTGAATTGAATTAAATGTCCAATATGTTTTATCTCATGTAATTTTCAATATGCAGTTGATAAAGTACATTGTTTTTTAGGGTAATAAAATGAATATTTTCTGCCTTTAATCTTTAAAGACAACAAAACCTTTGAAGAGCGAATAATAATAAAAAAAATTGTCGTTTCGCAGAGAAAGATGTTTTGAAAATAAATTTCCGTTTTCCATTATATTCTATAGTTAAAAATTTCCTAAAATTAAAAATGTTTATCTCTGTGTGTTATAATGTTTCACATGCATAGATCGGGGGGGGG